GAGCCGCCGGCTCCCTCCTCCCTGAGCGGGGCGCGGAGGGCGTGGGCAGCGCCCCGGGCGTGCGGTGCCTGCGGGGACGGCGGCTCGGAAGGGGTTTTACCTCGAGTGTGCGGTGCGTTGGGCATCGATGGGGAGGAAGGGGCCGAGTTGCATCCCGGGGAGCCCGAGCGAGGCGTCAGGCCGCCTGCTCCGCCGTGCGGGAAAGCGGGAAGTGCTGCAGCCCTGTGCTGCTTTTCTGAAGTCATGAGCCCGAAAACAAAGCAGCTTACTCGGAGCAGCAAGCACAAGGGTTCTGAATAAACGGCAGGAGCCGGGTTTTCCGAGTAACACGCTTTTCACGCAGGCTGTTTCAGGTGGTCACTGAACGTTTTGGTTTCGCTGTGTAAAAGAGTCGTGGAACCAATTTTCTGTTCAGAAAAGCTACGTTTTTGAGAAGACCAGCACCCGATTTGGTGGGAGCAAAGTTGATAGGACAGTGTTTTAAGTCGCAGTGTGTGGGTTTCCGCAGTGATCAGGGCCTGGAGCACTTGGGAGTCGTGCAGGTGCCAGAGCTGGATCATGAGCCAGGGCAGCTGACCCAGGCTGGCCAGCACAGGTATTCCATACCGTAAATACAATTCTCACTGTGTATTGGAGGTTCCCTGGGGAGGCATCTCTCTCCTCAGCGGCTGCCATCCCTGGAGGGCCTCTCCTGTCCCGCTCGCAAGGCCTGCTCTCCTCTTGGTTGGGACTGTCACACTTCCAGGGGAGCTGTGGCCTCGCAGGCTTTGACATCCCAGCTGCCCTGCGAGTGTGCAGCTCGCAGACACTGCGTGGCCCAAGCATAATGTCATATACTTTGTAACCGTGTTAATATTAATATTAGGGTTTTTTATTGTTGTTTTTTGGTGTTTGTTTTTTTTTTTCAACCCTTCTTTTCTCTTCTTGGGTGGGAAGGGGTCATTGGGTGATAGAACAGCTGGCTGAATATCACTTTATATAATTAGCAATAACTAGTTTTTTCATTTTTTTAATTCCGTGGAAGTGGCAATATGCACAATGTGACAGGCATTCTCTTTTTTAAAAGCATAAAACTGATTATGAAAAGTCGTTCAGTAAAGTAGGGTGACTTAACAAGACAGTGTAGTTAATCATTGACAATCACAGTTACAGTGCCTAGTTCCTGATAATTTTGTCTGATTCATTCTGCTTGTTCATCTAAAATGTTTTTAAATACTTTATTAATCTAGTGTGTTTATTTTAGAAAAACGTATACTTGAATTCTCGGCTGTAAATCCAAATGCTGCAGAATTGCATGCCTATGAACTGGCAAGTGAAACTGAAAACTCCATTGAAATTTGGCCTGAAAGTTTTTTTGCTCTGTCAGTAGCACATAGATTTATTATGATATTTATATGTTTCCAGTATCACTGTATTTTTTTAAGATAATTTATATGAAACACTGGAAATAGTGATTTCTCTGTGAGTCCCACAAGTATAACGCATAAAAGCTGAACTGCATCCTTAGAGCAACTACTTAGAAACTAATTAATTTCAGTCTTTGAACAGAAGGGGTAAAACTGCTTGAAGACAGAAGGTAAAATCCATTCTTCAGTGAAGTTAATAGCAAAAAAAACCCCAAACCCTAATTTTTCCTTCAGTTTTAAATGCAGTAAATTCAGTCTATGATAGTTTTTTGTTTGGTTTAATTACTTTTTTTAAAAAAACTAATAACGTTCTTTTCCAGATGTATCTTTTTATATCAATACCTCTAAGTTGCTTTATGAGGCGTGATATAAAGATACCTGTAGAACCGTGTGTATAAACATTGAAGGCACAGTGTCAACAAGACCTACCAGGAGTGGCTGAGGGAACTGTTTATTTAACCTGCAGAAAAGGAGCCTGAGAGGAGACCTTACTGCTCTCTACAGGTACCCGAAAGGAGGTTGTAGTGAGGTGGGTGTTGGTCGCTTCTTCCAAGTAACAAGTGATAGGTGAAAGCAAATGGTCTTCAACTTGTGTCAAGGGAGGTTTAGATTGGATATTAGTAAAAATGTCTTCACCAAAAGGGTTGTCAGGCACTGGAACAGGCTGCCTAGGGAAGTGGTTGACCTTGGAAATAAATACCTTCCTTGGAGGTATTTAAAAGATGTGCAGATGTGGTGCTTAGTGCCATTGTGGTGGACTTGGCAATGTTAGGCTAATGGCTGGACTCAGTGTTCTTAAAGGCTGTTTCCAACATAAGTGATTCTATGACTCTTAGATCATTTGGACTATTTACATATAACGTTATGCTGATGCTCAGCACTTTGCAGCTGGACTTTGTCACCCGAACATTTAGTTTATATCTTTCAACAAGTCATTTAAATGCTTTGTTCATAGTTTGCCTATCTATATGATACGTGTCCTGCTTACCTACCCAAGGTGGTATGAACTTCCTCAATATGGTTAAAGCTTCACCAGATTAACTGAGAAGGTTCCTCCTTAAACGTATCATGTGTCTGCCCACTCTTACCAGGAGAAACTTGCCGGTTTTCGATATCTGTTTGACTAATGTTCTTCCCTGTTAATCATAAAATCATAGAATGCCAGGTTGGAAGGGACCTCAAGGATCATCTGGTCCAACCTTTCTAGGTGCTACTACAATTTATTTGACATTGCTCAGCACCCTGTCAAGCTGAGACTTAAAACTGTCCAATGAGGGGGAATCCACCACTTCCCTATGGAGGCTATTCCAATGTTTGATTGTCCTCATGGTGAAAAATTTACCTTGTGTCCAATCGGAATCTCCCTGGGGTGCAACTTGTGCCCATTGCCCCTTGTTGTTTCCATGGGACTCCTTGTAAATAGCGAATCTCCATCTTTTTGGTAGCCACCCTTTAAGTACTGGAACATTGCAATAAGGTCTCCCTGAAGCTTTTCTCTTCTCAGTATTTTCATTTGCTGAATAAATACCCTATAGGAAGTTGCAGTCTGTTGCTTTTGGTGTTAGTTTCTCCTTTGGTTTTATGTATTTATTTGCTTTCTCATCACTACGACTTTGATACATAGCAACAACTATTTTCCTGCTTACAGAGTAGGACATAAATGCCACTGAAGCCTGCTACCATCTTCCCAAGTGACAGTGGGAGAGGTGACTCAAACTCTTCTTTTCAGTAGGCCCACGGAAATGGGCACTTCCCACTTTGCGAGGCACAGACACGTGTAACTAACTCACTGTAGTAAAGTCTTGTGTCTTTGATGCAAAATATTTTTTTAACATTGGCATTTTTGTTTTGTTTTTGTACTTATCAAGCTCTCAAAAGATGGCAGAGAGCTGGTCTTTCTTGGATACTTCTGAGGCTAACTTCAGGCCTCTGGTAGTAATTGAGCTTGCAAAAGGCACCAAAGAGGAAACCATAAAGTGGTTCACCAAGCGAATTGTGGACAAAAAAGCAAATGGAGGTGAGTCGAGTATGATCTTCAGCAACACTTTGAAATCACATTGGCTGTCGGTATAATATGAAGACATACAGAAAACTAGTTTTCAGATGATTTTTGGTTTAATTACTGCTTAGTCATTCATGCTCCATTTTCCATTTCTGAAGTTGCTTAATTTTATGTAAGAGTAGAGCTTCATGCTGTTGTGAAAATGTAATACCTGAACGCTCTTAATGCAGTCATTAATGAAAATAATAGCTTATGGTCATACACCTGTTGAACTCTAGAATCCTTCCATTTTCATGGTGAAACCCCGATAACCTCTCCTTCTATACCTTCCATGGTGTAGTTTTGATACCAGTTTTCATATTAATTGTCTAGGGCATGTTTCTTTTGTTGCTTATAATAGTGTTGTGAGCCTTGTCAAAATGAAAATGCATCACATCTAATATCCTGTCCACAAGACTTGGTACTATGTTGTAGAACAAAATTCAAGTTAGCAGGAAGTAAATTCCACTTGATAAATTCATGTTAGGTTGTAATTATATTTCTGCTAGCCTGTAGGCTCTTACAAATACAGTATTTCAGATAAGTCAGAGGTGTTTCTGTTTTTAAAAGTCTGCTTTCCTTAAAACAAGTGGGACTGTTTACCAAAGCACTGGTTGCTTAGGTGACTTGAGCATGATGGGAGTAAATCCAAACTTTCCATCTTCTTCCAGTTCACTGTGAGCACTTCCACAGAAACAGGGCTAAATCAGGGAGTGACCCTGCAAGATTCTGAGCACCACACACCAGGTTCTGTTGAAGCCTTGAATTCTTTGTGCCCTTAAAAAGATACAGCTTCAGTGCTCCTGATAACTAGGTCCAATATGATGCATGCTAAAATACTAGTGTTTTTATATACTCTCTTCCTTTTTTTTTTTTTTTTTTTTTTACCTTTCCTTAAAGGTGCACAACTGCTGGTAAAGCCATTGGCCATGGAAAATGGAGATGAAAATATTTATCTGGTTGGAGCTTCCCACTTAAGGCTGTTGCTGGGAGCTGAAACTGTGGGTTTGGTGAAGGAATGTAATGATAGTTCAATGAGAACTTTTACATACAGCAGTAGAAAAACTTTCAAAGATTTTGCAGGTAAGCAATTGTAAGGCTCTTCTGTCATTGCAAAGCTGTAGCTGAAGATTGTGAGCAATTTCACAGTTAAATCTTTCATGGTCTTTCTATTCCTCAGAATGGTTGACAGTGAACAGAAGTAGGAAGAACAAGCCATGAAAAAACACGCATTTTTACCTCTGGAAATTCAACACATATAATGAAGTTAATTTTTTTCTTTCATGTCTTTCACTTTTTGCTTGTGCTTTCCTTTATGCTTTTATATGCTCCAAGTATGGCAGATTTTCTTGGAAAGACTTGTTGGAAATGAGATAAGAAAAAACTGTCGATAAACATGAATGCAGGATTAACAATCAATGTTATGAATTAACATAGCGATTTAATTTCATATCAACACCTGTGAGCCAGTTTTAAGGCTCATTATCTTTTGTCTTCATAATACTTTTCATGTGCCTGTTTCAGTGATACCTTTCACCACATTTTCAATATAAATGTTCTTGAATCTGCTGAATTTAAAGCTGAGTATTGTTGTTTGTTTGATGCCAGTTGATTCAAAATTGGTGCTCTGTTCAGTAACTGTTGCAGTGTATTTTCTTTTGTGACTTTGCTTTCCTGAAATTAGGAAGCCTTGAGAAGAACTGTCAGTTGCAAAGGTGCCATTTCTATATCTGTCATGTGTTTACATTCTTAATGCTAACCTGACTGTCATTGCTAACAGATTCTTTAGTAGCATCTGGAATTCCAACTGCTGTGTTTTGCTGTATTTCCTTGTCTTTTCTAAAACACTAACATAATTTGTCCAGAGATGAATAGAGGATAAAATAATTGACCATGCTTAGATGAGGTGAAAAATGTGTCATTTTTTAAAGAAACCCTGTGGCTTGTGTTGTGGTACTAATATTCCTACTCGTTGTGTTACAGATTTGTTGTTGGTTTAGCTTCTTACTTAGTGTATTTAGGGCCATTCCTATAGTACTTATTCCTAAGGGGGAAGAAGAATAACCAATTGGCTGTTACCTCAAGAAAACCAGATTCTGTTTCCTTGATGATAAATTTATGGAGTTGATAATAGTTTTTTTTGCTGCAGCTCTTCAAAATTCGGGACTTTTTTTGGAATGTGTTACATTGGTTTACTTTATTTCTGTATTTTTGCTACAACTGATTATCTCAGATGGCTTATCATTATGTTGTATGGCTAATAAAGAGCAAGATACTGTGATATTTGACCTAAATGCTTACAGAAAAGGAGATTTGTCCTAACGTCTTACTGGGTTTCATTGTGAAAATAGCTCTGCAACTATATGGCAGAAAGAGCTGTAGGAATTCTAATATTGGCAAAGGATGAATGCCAAGGTGAAGTCTTTCATCAGGTCAGGAGTATGCAACACTGGTTCGTGTACTATCTCAGCCTTTTTCAAACAGTACTTCATGAGTGTCTTGGTCTCTTCAGTGGTTTCATTTCTTATTTCACCTAGGTGTTAAAAAATGCAGTAAGCAATATGGGCCACTTAGAGTAAACTGCTTCCTGAGACGTTTATTTTAAAAAGGGGAGTTCTTGCTAATGTATGTTGGTGGCACTAATTGTCACACAATTTATATATATTTTTTTTTCCTATTCTGATAAGTTTTGATAGTTATTTGTAGTCTTCCTGCGCTGCACACTTTCATACTACATTCTTTTTTGCTTAGATGACAATCACAATTTCCTTACAATGGCAGAATGTCAGTATATCATCAAACATGAACTCGAAAATTTGAGAGCTAAGGATGAAAAAATGATCCCTGGATATCCTCAGGCAAAACTTTACCCAGGAAAGTCAATTGGTAAGCAATATAGTGTGTTGCCTGTAACTTGCTGAGTTGATGTAGGATAGTGTTCATGGTGAAAAAACTTAATATTCCTGCAGTGAAGAGAAATCCTTCAGACATTAAAGTCCCACTGTTTTAAATCAACTTGGTCTTTTCACTCACTGGTCCACATTGATAGGACAAGGGACAATGAATGCACAGCGCAACAAGAGAAATTCTGAATAGATATTGAGAATATGTTTTTCACAATGAGGGTAGTCAAATATTGGAACAGGGTTTTAGAGAGATCGTGGTAACTCTGTCCTGGGAGACCTTTAGGTGTTCATTAGATGAGGCTCTGAGCAGCCTCATTTAAGCTGGACCTACTTCCAGCAGGAAGTTGGACCAGATGACTCCCAAAGGCCTTCCATCCTGAGTCTTTGTGAGGCTGAAAGTCTGGCCTTATATTCTTTTCAACGGGATAATTTCCACATATGTTCATGTCATCCACTATTTTTGTATTTTGTATGTAAAGTATTTGTGTGTTGTTTTTTTAAAAATACATAATGATATATATTAAAGGCTGAGGGAGCTGGGTCTCTTTAGCTTGGAGAAAAGGAGACTGAGGGGTGACCTCATCAATGTTTACAAATATGTAAGGGGTGAGTGTCAGGGGGACGGAGTTAGGCTTTTCTCAGTGATGACCAGTGATAGGACAAGGGGTAATGGGTGTAAATTGGAGCATAGGAGGTTCAAGGTGAATATCTGAAAAAATTTTTTTACTGTAAGAGTGACAGAGCCCTGGGACAGGCTGCCCAGGGGGGTTGTGGAGTCTCCTTCCCTGGAGACATTCAAAACCCATCTGGATGCGTTCCTATGTGATGTACTCTAGGTGACCCTGGTCTGGCAGGGGGTTTGGACTAGATGATCTTTCGAGGTCCCTTCCAGCCCCTAAGATTCTATGATTCTATGATTTGGATTGCCTCTGTGTAAAAATGCTGAAATGACAAACACTGTTCCAGAGCTGTAAATTTAAAAATACAAAGGAAGTTAATTTTATTTAATTTATCCTCCTCTTCGCCTCAAGAACTCTTCCTTTTCATGGGAGAAGGAAGCAATGAGAGCTAGTGCTGTTTTTGTGGTAGCTGAAGCTAGTTCATTGGTAGAGATGATACAGTTTCTTCAGAGAATTTATCATAATGTTTGTATGTCCTTCTAGTGACAGTGTCTTTATTCTTTAGTATTGGCCATCAAAGAGAGATCTGTGCATATCAGTGGTTCAGGCAGTGTAAATAAATGCAGATGTCTGATCAGTTTACAGTGGTAATTTTTTTTATATAGCTAAGGTGTTTTTCTGGTTATGCTAAGTAGACACTGATGGGAAATGGTAAAAAATTGTCACAAAACTTCCAATGCCTCCCCTCTTCTGTATCTGAATTTATTTTTTTTATTAATGTTTCTATAGTGTTAGCTTTCGGAGCAGTTTGTTAGTTGTTTATCTGCACAGGTAGTATTGCTTTCCATAACAAAGTTAAATATAAATTGTGGAATATTTGGGTTTTTTTGCAGTGAAGATGTGTTGTAATGTACAAATTAGTGTAGATGGGCCATTAAAAAAATATTTTTAGTATCTTTCCCATAATTAATGCAACAATGGTTCTTCAGTTTAGTGCTATGTTTTTACTATGTCAATTTGATTTTTTTTATGCCTTTCTTTGCTCAAATGCAAGTGCCAGACAATGAAATTCCCCACAAATCTACACATGGCATTTCACTTCTGACCTGTAGCTTTTTTTTTTTTTTTTTTTTTTTTAATTCAAGCTGCTACCGATTACATTGCAAAGCTATGGAATAGTTAATGGAAGTAAAAAGGTCACTCTTTCAGTGGACAGCACAGTCTTTGTAGGAATAGGTAGAACTGCTCTCTATAACCAATAATTTTTAACTAACATGCAGACAATTTGTTTTTAGCATTTAAATGCTAGATTTATTTCAAACAAACTTCAGGCTTGCTAAGTACATAGTATAGCATGTTTACTTCTGTCTGTTTCACTCTCCTACTGTCCTTTGAAGTAGTACTAGGTACCTCTTTTAAAAAAAATATTATTATTATTTTCCTTTTAGTGAGAAGATTATTGACCAGTGGTATTCTAGTTCAGATTTTCCCACTGCATGATAGAGAAGAGTTGAAAAAGCTCCGTCACAGCTGGTATGGCCGAGTGAAAGTTGGCTATCAACCTTTAGGTACGTGAACACTTCTACTACAAATAAAGTGCAGGGTTTCTTCTGGAGAAGTTTTCTCTGCAGTTTGTGTGAAGAAGACCAAGGGTTCTTTCTATCTTCTCCAGCATGTAGCCTCTATAGAAGTGAAACTTCTGTGTGGAAGGTAAGTATAATACCAGGAAGTCTGTTGTTTCATGAAGAGTTTACCTTTTCATATCTCCAGTGAACCCACTGCAGTTCACCTTCTCTGATATTACCTCAAACATTTCTTTGGCCATTGTGAACCTCAGTCCTTGTTTTACCCAGCCTTGCTTTTACTGGTCTTGGAAACAATAGACTGGCTTAGGCTCTGGTTAAAGAAGCATCCATGTTTCTAGACTTGTTGACACGCTGAGGTCTTTTCATTTAATTTTTTTTTATTCTAAGATGGCTGTAAGATAGCTTTTTGCTATAGTGACTCACAATGCAACTGTTTTGGAGTGAAATGCTCTATGTGCAAACTGCTGTCTCTCTTAAACAGGGCCATTCCTGTTTAACATCTTTATTGATGATTTGGATGAGGGGATAGAGTGCACCCTCAGTAAGTTTGCAGAAAACACTAAGCTGGGTGTATGTGTTGGTCTGCTTGAGGGCAGGGAGGCTCTGCAGAGGGATCTGGACAGGTTTGATCAATGGGCCAAGGCCAATTGCATGAGTTTCAATGAGGCCAAATGTCGGGTCCTGCCGTTCAGCCACAACAACCCCCAGCAGCACTACAGGCTTGGGCAGGAGTGGTTGGAGAGCTGCCCAGCAGAGAGGGACCTGAGGGTGTTGATTGACAGCTGGATGAACACAACCCAGCAGTGTGCCCAGGTGGCCAAGAAGGTGACCATCCTGGCCTGCATCAGGAACAGTGTGACCAGCAAGGACAGGGAGGTGATCCTGCCCCTCTACTTGGCCTTGGTGAGCACCTCAAGCACTGTGCAGTTTTGGGCACTGCAGTATAGGAAGGACATGGAGGTGCTGGGGAGGGTGCAGAGAAGGGCAATTAGGCTGATTAGGGGTCTGGAAAATGGGTCTTGTGAGGAGAGGCTGAGGGAGCTGGGGCTGTTCAGCCTGGAGAAGAAGAGGCTGAGGAGGGAACTCATTGCTCTCTACAACTACCTTGAAGGAGGCTGTAAGTGAGGTGGGTATTGGCCTCTTCTCCCTAATGACTAGCAATAGGACAAGAGGAAAGAGGGTTGGTTGCACCAGAGGAGGTTGGGATTGGGTGTTAGGAAAAATTTCTTCACAGAAAGAGTGGTGAGGCATTGGAACAGGCTGCCCAGGGAGGTGAGGGAGGCACCGTCCCTGGAGGTGTTCAATAAACAGGTAGACGATTGGGAGATGGCTGGGTGGTTAGGGCTGTAGGGCAGATGGTTGGACTTGATGATCTCAGAGGTCTTTTCCAACCTTGAAAATTCTATGATTCTATTATTTCATTTCCTGTGGCTGCAGGAGTTGTGTGTATGACTGCAGGAATTCTGTATATAGGCCGTTGGTCATAGTTTCCAAGTTGGAGCTGAGTGACTGTTCAGAAGCTCAGCATTTGCACATTGATCAACTAGCATAGAGTCTTGAGATGAGACCATTGCTCTTTTACCAGTTGGATAAGTTTTTCATTAATAAATGAGTATATTTTACACACTGAATAAGCTTAAAATGAAAATAATTTTTAGTTTGGCCGTTAAGTTCTGGATTCTAAACCTGTAAACTTAACTTTAAGAAAATAAACCTTTAGAAGGTTGCCTGATTCTCTACGTCTTGCGGTTGCTCGTAATTCTTTCCTGAGCTACAGGAAGTTCAAGATCTAGCTTGATAATGCCTTCCTCCAGAGTATTGTTTGAGGGGTCATATTGTGTGCTTGTCTTGTTTATGCAGGAGAAATAGTTTCTTGACTGACCTTGGATACATACAGAATTTCAAAGTAAATCCCAGGAACCCTGTTATGTATGTTGTGTGTTTGGAATGTGAAAGGATGCTGATTTTCTACATTTTAACTTACTTGTTAATAAATTTTTGATTGAGATGCATGTTGGAGTGCTGGTTCTTCTGTCTGTTTGCCTTCCCCAGTTGCTTTCAGAGATTTATCTGGTTGGCAGTTGTAAACATTTCTGTGCTGCTTTGTAAACCATAAGGCCTAAGAATATTCTGGTATTGTGCATGAGAATTTTATGTGCTAGTGTGTTATGTAGACACATTTTTGGTGTCAGTTCAGAGGTCATGCTGTTGTGGCTATTTTGTTAAGCTGGTGAATACTTAGGAGTGGCATACAAGCAATCTGATCTTCCAAGCAAGGTAAAACTGGTTTCAGGATTCTACACTCAGTTTGCTAGGTATTTCTATCTCTTATGTGGTCCCATTTCTGTATTATATTGAATAATATTCCTACATTTTTTTATTAGCAGTAAGGTAAAAGAAATACTGTCTTTCTTGGATGTAATACATCTGTCATGAAATTTGCCCATTAGAATTGCACTTTTCAAGTCTTTATAACACCTGAGCAGAGAACTTCGGTGAGTGCAGCAGGTGTGTGTTTCATGTAACAGTTACCTGCTAAAGGGAATGTCTCAGCCTGGGTGTGCTATCTGACATGTTTAAGATTTAAGATTTCAGTATAAGTTTTCACCTCTTTCTTTAGTTCCTTGTGAGCTGGCAAAGCACCACTGGTCCTTTTTGGCCCTAACCAGGCTGAAACAAATTTGTTTCTCAGGTGTACATATTCCAGAAAGAAGCTTCAGGAGATAATTTGTTTCTCTGTAGAATATGTTACTGTGAGCTAGATTTTTACTATGGTTTAAGAGATGGCCATTTAAACTTCTTACATTTATTTTGGGTTCCCTGAGACTGCAGTTTCACATCTGTTTTAATTTGGTCTGAGTCTAGCATGCCTTCAGAAGGGATTATCCTGCCATTCATTGTGTTATTTAGGAAAATAAACTTGGGGTAAGGGATAAATGTAAAGTCAAGTTTGATATTGCACTGGCATGTATTTTAAAGTGTAGTCTGAACTGATTGCTTTTTCTCTGCAGATGAGATACGATGCTACTTTGGCGAAACCATTGCTCTCTACTTTGGCTTCTTAGAGTACTTCACATTTGCTTTGATTCCAATGGCTGTCATTGGGATTCCTTATTATGTGTTTGCATGGGAAGACTATGACAAATATGTGATGTTTGCAACATTCAATCTGCTGTGGTCCACTGTGATACTAGAGGTTTGGAAGCGGATTTGCGCCATCATGACGTACCACTGGGGAACGCTGCTGATGAAACGACAGTTTGAAGAACCAAGACCAGGCTTCCATGGTGTCCTTGGTATCAATCCCATAACTGGGAGGGAAGAACCAGTGTACTCAAGTATTAAGAGACAACTACGGATTTATCTGGTGTCCTTACCATTTGTGTGCCTTTGCCTCTACTTCTCACTATATGTAATGATGATTTACTTTGATTTGGAAAACTGGGCTCTGGATTATCATGAAGAGAATGAGTCTACCTTCAGTAGCCTGATGCTGTTTGTACCCAGTATCATATATGCTGTTGTGATTGAAATTATGAACCGCATCTATCGGTATGCTGCGGAATTCTTAACATCGTGGGGTAAGAAATGTGTTTCTTCTGCCTTAAAGTTAGAATCCCAGATGTTTAGAATTTGTTTCTCTGTAGAATATGTTACTGTGAGTTCTTGTTCAGTGGAATGCTAAATAAATTTCCTGAGCTAGATCTTTACTACGGTTTAAGAGATGGCCATTTAAACTTCCTACATTTATTTTGGGTTCCCTGAGACTGCAGTTTCACATCTGTTTTAATTTGGTCTGAGTCTAGCATCCCTTCAGAAGGGATTATCCTGCCTGCCTCTTCAGCCTCTCTCTGCCTTTGGTGCAGAAGTCTCCCTTCCCTGATTAGGTCTTTATCTGGCTATATTTGCTCCAGTGCTGGCAAGAGGGACAAGGTGAGATCATGAGGGTGGCAGCTCAAGGACTGGATGGCAGGACGGGCTGTCCTGGCAGCTTGCACCCACGATCTGGTTTTGTTGAATACTGTTAGTCTACTGCTGAATCTGCACAGAGGATAGAGGCACTAATATAATGAGACAAAATCTAAAATTACCAACTGAATGTCATATATATGAGAGTGTTTCTGTATGCTGCTTATAATTAAGACTAAGATTACCCATCCCTATCAAAAGATTTTGTTCTGGGCACTCTCAGAAGTGGAGTAATGCTATAACATATTGCGATTTTTGCCCTTTGCATGTGACTTATTTAGCAGATTGGGCCTTGGGCCTATATTTTGTATCCTAGCATAAGGATAATGAAATGTTAGTGTTTATTTTGAATTTTAGCACTTCTAGAAACCTTTGCAGTCAGTTTCAGACAAAGTTAATAGATGAAGCTAATGAGGAGTTACGTGGTTTGAGTAGCACAATATAGCATCCAGGTTACAGGATAGCATCTAGGTTACTGAAGCTGGAGACCCAGAGAAGTAACCTAAAAAGGATTAATCAAAAGGGAGGTTGATGCCAGAGATAGAATAAAAAGTAGTGTCAAAAAGGGGATTTCTTTTTTTATGCATGCCAAAATTATTTGCTCAGCAAATTCAACTTGACAGCAGTAATAGCAAAAGTTAGCAATTTCTTGATTTATGGCTGTTCAAGGATTTCATTTAAATAATGACTTTTAAATTAATATCTAGGTTTCAATTGACTGTTTGGTTTCTTTTTTCACTATATTGCAAGAAAATGCCTTTCTGCAAAATGCCCAGCTGTGTTGATCAGGTAGATTAAAATGTCTTTAACAAGTAACACAAGTATTTTTTTAACCTAGATTTTTTGTTTTAAGCTGATGTTTCATACTCAACAGCAACAGTATTTATGTAACTCACTACACTGGCAGCTTGTGCCTTTTCTGTGCTATCCAATGTGTTTGTGCTGCCATGTTGAGAATAGGATGAAGAGCTCATTTGGCTGTCCTTCCTCCCCTCCCACCTGGCATATTTTCTGCTGTTACCTGGCTTAAGCAGCTAAACTGACAAAGCATAGGAAACAATATCGGTTATTTTAAATCACACCTCTTGCACCCAGTTATCACGAGGACTGATCATTTAGTGAAAATTAGAAGTGAAAATTGTCTTCAGTCTCTTGAGTGCATCTTCCATGTGTCAGGTCCAATCTCATGCCTGTGTCAGAAGAGAACTTTGCTGTTTTGTCCTGAGCAAGGTCAGCAGGTGACAGTCCCTCCTTTCAGCCTTGTTTGACACAGCTCATGATAATGTGCTGCCTTCTCAGTTACTGCTTACCCAGAGTTTTAAAGGTACAATCTGACAAACTAGCAGAAAGAAATAGGAAATCTCCCATTCATTTCCCTTTCCTCCCCGCTAGTGTCCAGCCTTGCTTAAACATCAGCTTCTGGCAATTTATCTGGAATGAACTGAAAATTGTAATTTCAGAATGAGTAATGCAACTTCATGTACTCTAGTGTTGCTTTACAGCTTAGTGTCTGATTTAAATTTCTTGGAGGTAGATGGGAATATTTCTAGTGAGCAGTTACTGGTTTTGAATAGTATTGTTATTCATCATGTATTCCACTTAGTTTTGCGTTTGCTTTCAGTCAAAGAAAAATCAATAACTAGGCACATTTTATTAAGTGTTAGGAATGGTGGGTGATTTTTCTGTTATAAAACTGTTCTTCTGAGAAAAATGTAAAAGGAAGAACTTCTACATTAGAAAAAATACTAGAATTGTAGCCAAAAATATGCATATCATTATTGTGCATCAGATTAGCTTCACAAATTAAGTGAGGTACTGGTACAGTGTGAATTCATGTTGCCATAAAATGTTGGAGTAGCTATTCCACATAAACTATCAGTTAAGTAATTTTTAGGTGGAGTAAAAGTGTTGGTTTACTCTTTTATAACAATGTCTAGTGTATGGTAAGTCCTTCTGCAGTTTACTAATCAGTAATTTTGTTGGTATTTTAGAAAATCACAGGCTGGAATCTTCATATCAGAATCATTTAATTCTGAAGGTTTTAGTGGTAAGTATGTATTATAAGCAGCTTTTAAGATTATTTAAAAAGAGAACTTGTCATGTGTTTTATCAGTGCTTTTCCAGCATTACCTCACTGACCTACAGTTTTGTTCAAGGCCAAATAATAGCACAAGTATCAGAGTAAACAGGATTTCTATTGTGGTTGCAGTAAGTGCTGGATTGTTTCAGAGGCCTCTTTTTATAGTGGAGAGGTTTTTTTTTTATATATATTGATTTGTTCTTTCATTAGGATTCTGTATATGTAAGCTTTCCTGTTAATTGGTGTGGTCCTGTGTTCAACTGGGAACTACTTTCACTTTTTTCAAGACAGTATGATAAACCGTATTTTAAAAAGTTCATGTATTAACCTTGGCCTGTACTAACATTCAGACAACCAGTCAGAGGAGGCTGGAGATACATGTCTATCAGACTGCTCCTATGCAGTAGTGTATACTGATCTATTTACTCTCTGGCTCTGATCAAGTAGGTTTTGTGTGTCTTAAGTATATGTTTGGCTGATTTTTTGAGATTTAATCTTCTTGTTTCCTTTTTGAAAAGATCATTTAAGTCTCTGCCAGTGTCCCCTTTTTTTCTTTTTTTAAATCTGCTTGCTATCCTGTTACTGCTAGTCTCTAGAGCTAAAACACTTATATGTATCAACTATAGCTTTGTCTCTGCCTTTCTTAAAAAATAGTGCCATCTCTTTTTCCCCATAGGAAATTTATATAAAATAACTTAAAAAAATTATGAAATGTGAAATCCAAGTGTGTCCCCCACAGTTTTCGGTTTTGCCATATAGGTGGCTCTCCGCATTCCCAGTATTATCTGTGTTGTCCATGAGCTCCAAAAAAGTAGCTCCAATACTGAGAGCAAGTAGGAAGCTTCAAAGATTTATTATGATATTTTGGGAACAATGTTGCAATTATATTTAATTTTAGAAGTAGGGAATATTTCTCTTGGTCATAAAACATCTTGAAGTGATTAAATGTAAAGCGCAACTAACATATATTGAGGAACAGTTGTACGTACTGAAAGAGATGTAATCCAACACATGTATTTTGATAAAATATATCTTAATAATAATAAATCATTACTCTGAATTAAAATCAATATGTCCTTTTTATTGTTACTTTTGTTATTACTTACGGGGAAGCAGCCAAAAGATGAGAATTTAGTAGAAGATGACAGAGTTTTCACGTCCATATTTCATAACTGAAGTGTAGTTCTCTTTGTATACTGTGCTTTGGGAAAGCCATAAAGTTATCAGATGAAAATCTGACTAAAACCAGTATTGAAAATTGGGTTTATCTGACCTAACTTTAAGAAATGATAAAGAAAATTTTAATGAACAGTTTACATCTGCATGGAAGCTATTTAGTCAAGGTAACGTGTTAAGGTAAGATGATATTCTGCATTTGAACTTCTGCTTGAGTACTAATAACAAGTGTTTTTATTTGCAGTTCAACTTCTTAAATTGTTTTGCATCTCTCTTCTACATTGCCTTTGTGCTATTTGATATGAAGCTTTTGAGGCAGGTGAGTTCCAAGAACATCTTAAGAATGTTAATGAATCTAGGAAAAGAAAGGATTGTTTGAAACAGGACTTTAGTTTTTAATAGTTTTTCTATAATATTAACTTGACAATGAATATATTTCATATCTTTTCTCAGAAATCCATCTCCGTATTTCAGTTTCTCCAGCATAGTTATAGAATCATATTAGAGTGGAGCAGTTATTTCCATCCATATAAATGAGGAGCTGTTTTCAAATAAGCTGGTTATTCCCTCACACAGATGAGGCTAGAGAATTTTCATTTCCTCTTGCTTTCCCTTTATGTTAGAAAATGGTTTTCTCTGTCATGTTCTTAATGAGACACTCTTGAGAATAGAAGCATGATTAAATTTTATGACTACAATGAGGAGCTGAGAAGAAATAAAAGCAAAATTAATTTGCAGTTGGTATTTTAAGTTAGCTTTTAAATTATTTCTGTTCTTTTGCACTCCAATGCATGGAAGTTAGGTATAAGGAAAATATTTGTGCTCTAAATATTAATGAAAACACGAGAACTGTAACTCAAGATCTGTGTTCCTCTAAAGAGATCTTGGCATATTTATGTCAGACATGATATTTGTGACATTTTCTATACTTTAAAGGTAAAAAGCAAAAAGAAGAAAAGCATTAAGTTGTTCACTGTTTAGCTCTGTGATTGGTGTAAGCAGAGTGTGTATCTTTACCCTTCATTGGACTTTGTGTACTGTCTCCAAGATACATGCAGATAAAAAAAATTATTAGGCATCTAGTTGCTATTTTTTCCTATGCAGCAAATTGCAAAGAATGAGAACTAGAGCACCTATACTTTTCATGTGGTATTGCAAGTTTTCTTAGGCTGGTCTTCTTTTATCATAGTATAACAACTTGCAGTGTTGCTAGAATGCACAGAAATGGAAATTATCATAGGTTTGTCCCGGGTCTATTTATTAATTTTTTTCTTTTTTTATTTTACTTTGATCTTTTTTTTTTAACTTAAGAGCTTGGCCACTTTGCTGATAACTTCGCAGATCCTCAATCAGTTTGCAGAATCCTTACTTCCTTACTGGCTCCAAAAGAGACATAAGAAGAGGATGAAGAAACGCATGGGTTCTCTGAAAACAGATACGGACCTGTCATTCGTTGAACAAGTCAACTTGGAGAAGGAAATGGGCACCTATGTTGTACGTTTTACTGCTGTTAAAAGGGTTACAAGTTTCCTGGGCTGTAGTTGACAGAGACATCAGCCAGTGTAACCTAAAATATTTCTGGCTGTCTGGCCTGGCAGGTTGTTTCCAGCTTCATCAGTTTTGCTGGTAGTTTTGTTTATGCAGCTATTTAGTGCACTGGATCAAGAAACTGATACAGTGTAGGATCCCAGTTACACCAGAATGAAGTAGGAATGAACAGCTGAATCTGGAGCTACCTAACCCTGTATCACTGGAAGAAGCATTTGTGTAATACGCCCTTAATCTCCAAGGGCAGTCTGAAGACCAGCAGGATGAGTAGCCTGGCAAAGGGAAGGTGGAAGCTGTTTCTGGTTTAGTTTGCTTTTGCAGTGATACTAGTTTAAACTGTTAAACTCTAGTCAGAGAGAGTGTGCTCATGTCTGAGTAGGGCCAGAAATGGAGAGGGCAGGGGAGACCCGCTCTTCAAACCAATACCACTGTTGGGAGCTCTTGCTTTTTGAAAGTACACTTTTGACATTCTCTGATTTCCTAATTCCATTCCTGACCACATCCTACCCACTACAATTTTTAGTTGTATTTAACAGACTTCGTGCAATTCATTATTTGCAGTTTTAAATCAAGTTAGACATCAGTGTATATGTAAAGGCCTTACAGATTGGCTGACAAGTTTCTTGATCAGCTGCTGTAAGCATAGTCACAAGTCTCTTAATGCTGTATGTCTCATACTTTTCCAGAATAAAAATTACATGCAGATAGTGTACCTTCTGTAGAAAGTAGAAAAGAGCAGTTTGAAATTTGATATTAATGCCGCATCAGATTCATCTCTTCCCAGACTAAGTGTCATGAAATGGGAAGAGGATAAATTTGCAATTGAAAAACTGTACGAATGTTAATACTTGTGTTGCTCTGGGAAGGTTGGTATTTCCCACATTTTATATGGAGAGAAATAGATTTAGAGAGCGTGTCTGTCTTACAGTGAAGAACACAACAGAAATCCCCAAGTTAGTGTCTGAACTGATAAATCAGCACAGCCCAGTACTGTGCCTGCAAATCAAGTTAGACATCAGTGTATATGTAAAGGCCTTACAGATTGGCTGACAAGTTTCTTGATCAGCTGCTGTAAGCATAGTCACAAGTCTCTTAATGCTGTATGTCTCATACTTTTCCAGAATAAAAATTACATGCAGATAGTGTACCTTCTGTAGAAAGTAGAAAAGAGCAGTTTGAAATTTGATATTAATGCTGCATCAGATTCCTCTCTTCCCAGACTAAGTGCCATGAAATGGGAAGAGGATAAATTTGCAATTGAAAAACTGTACGAATGTTAATACTTGTGTTGCTCTGGGAAGGTTGGTATTTCCCACATTTTATATGGAGAGAAATAGATTTAGAGAGCGTGTCTGTCTTACAGTGAAGAACACAACAGAAATCCCCAAGTTAGTGTCTGAACTGATAAATCAGCACAGCCCAGTACTGTGCCTGCAAATAGGCCAGAGGCCAGCACAGCTCCAAGAGCATCAGGCATTGATATGCCTGACCAAATAAGCTCTGTCGCTTAGTCCCAGTGCTTCTTGTGCAGAGCTGGATCAAATGTATCTGCACCTGTTGAGCCATTCTGCCCTGAACAATTTTCCATACAGACCTGACAGGTCAACTCTAAATTTATGAGTTTGCCTTGGATGTGTCCACTCATAGCCTTAGTTTCCATTCAAGATACTGTGTATTCAAGGATTAATTTTATTTTCAGTCTAAGGATTTAATTGTGTTGTCCTTGTGAATTCACAATATTAGACCTCTGATTTGTTTGCAAGCTGTGAGCTGTCAGCAGGCAAGAGTATTTCTAAAATTAAATCTGTCACAAGGGGGAAGCATTTGACTATGTTTAGTTACTGAGGACTTTAGCAGGAGTCTTGACAGGATACTGCATTTCAGGGTCGTCTTTTTTGTTTTCCTTCACTTGCTCTTTAACAGTGAATTCTCAATTATTTGTCCTCTTTCTCGCTTTTCAAATCTCCTGCCCAATTTAAGATTTAAAAACATCCTGCAAGAATTTTTTTTTTTTTTTTAAATTTCTGCTTCTCTAGTTAATTTTCTCCCTGAATTTTTTTCCTTGATGCAAGAGTTCATGTGCTTGTGGCTGACAATGGCTCACTTTGGAATTTCTTTGCCATCACATCAAATTCCTGCACAAAGTGTCATAATTTGAGTAGGAGAAAAAGAAATAGTCATTTATTTCTCATAATCTGCTGTTCTAAAAGTCAGTAGGTGCTGGGCAAGGAAATGAGAAGAAAGGTGTGAGGAAGCAGTGGGAACACTGTGCAGTTACTAGAAGGAGAAGCACAAAGGGAAGCATCACTCCCTGCCTGCAACAGTTGTCTGAGAAGGTGATAGTAGGGACAAATGTGTCACTACCACTCCAGTGAGTGATCCTGCACAAGCAATCATAAGGAAGACCTTACTAAAATTCAGAGTTTGTACAACACATTTCTGTGGGAAAACCTCAGTGGTTTTAAAGTTAGGTAGCTCCTCATGGCCTGGCCTGCAGATCATTTTGTCAGACTCAGCTATACTGTACAACTTGAAAATGAGCTCAATTGAAAAATGCAGCTAATGATAACCCCACGTTGATTTCTCTCTCTGCTAGAAAAAAAAAAAGCAGTAGGTGCTGGAGAGGGCAGTCAGTTTAATAGCTATAATCAGCAGAAAATATGAAGGAACCATGTGTCTGATGCATGGAGCCAAAAACAATTTAATGTGGTGTCTGTAATAATCTCAGTCAAGTCTTTGTTATTTCAGTTTTGAGAGAGGACAACACATGGGTCTAGGTGAATACTAGCCAGCTAGATCCCAGTTTAACTTGTTCATCCTTTGTACAGTGAACAGTTTTTCTTTAAAAATGGTTAGTTTGATTCTTTTCTTTCCTAAGTAATAGCTGCAAATATAGAAAACTCTTATTAATACTACAAAACTAATATGCAAAGATGGATGATAACCTACATTCTCGTATTAAAGATCAGGTGATAGATACAAACTAATATGCAAAGATGGATGATAACCTACTTAGCTTTTAAGCACCCACATTCTTGTATTAAAGATCAGGTGATAGATATGTTGTTAATTTGCCAAAATAGGACTTCTTGTTTGTACTGATTGTTGGTTTCAGATATCAGTGCTGCATTTTGTCATTTCAGCTGGAGGACTAATTCTGACTTAACCTCTTTTGAAATAAACAAGCAGAAATACCAGAAAAGGGTTGCCTCGCTAGCAACCTACCTTTCTAGTTAGGTCTTTCACAGGCAGTTTGAAATACTAGGACTTCTCTTGTCACAATGTTCTTAGGAGAATGTTCTTCCAGTTTAAATGTATGGTGCTGTTTTCCTATCTCCCACTGTTCCTTCTGTAACTGTTTTACCTAGGTAGTCAGGAACTTGAATGAGATGAATGTGTCTATACAATTACTTCATGTAGTAAGAAGTGTAAGCATTGCAAAAAAAATGCATTGGGCAAAAGGAAAAACCTTGGTCTCCCCTTATTAAGAAGTTCTGAGTAATTGAACAATTCCATATTAACTAGGATGAGTTTTTTTGTCGTTGTTAGTTTGTATCACCAATCATTTGTAAACAACTGATTTGAGATAAGGAAGTGTGTTTACAACAATATGGTTAATTCTGTGTTTCTTCATATAGTTTTGTGGGTTAAAGTTACTCTTACTTTTGCTCTGTTTTTCAGGGTACTTTTGATGATTACCTGGAGTTGTTCTTACAGTTTGGTTACGTGAGTCTTTTCTCATGTGTTTACCCACTGGCAGCTGTCTTTGCAGTGTTAAACAACATCACGGAGATATATTCTGATGCCTTAAAGATGTGTAGAGTTTACAAGCGTCCATTTGCTGAACCCACAGCAAATATTGGTGTTTGGCAGGTAATTTTTGTATCTTTTTCAATGAATTTGTTTTAAAGGAGGTTTCAAGTAATTTATTTAAGCTGTGTTTTTGACCCATCAGCCACTTTAAAGTTAGTAATACTTTATTCTCTTCAATGCCTTAGGATAGTATCTATCCAACTGTATATCCAGGTGATTGTAGGCTTTTTGACCACATGTCTTTCAGTTGCCTTTGAAAAGAATACAGATCTTTCCTTTAGTCCTTTTATATGTATTGTACTTGTGTTGCAACTGAAACAAAGCAAAGGTGCCAGATACTTCCTGGTATTCTTCAGAGCCAACATACTTTAGAAATGGTAACATGCAGTCTCAGAAGCATGGAGCTCAAGCAAGGGTTTAAAAAAAAATTAAAGAATGGTGTGTAAGTACTTGTATTGCTAAGTTATGCTTGGCTCTGTGTCCTTGTGATTAGTGGTACTCAAGCTGCCTAGTTTTAAATAACCTGGATCTGTGAGAAGAAGCTGGACCTTTGTGCACAGCCTGAACATTGTGGTCTGTCTAAACAATTTAATGCTAGTTGTACTGAGTTAAGGATTTCCTATCCTCAGTTGTTTGCCTGTGCAGCCATGCTGGCACCAAGCTAGTTTGGAGCCTGCTGAGTGAGCTGCATCAGTGAACTGATTTGGCTGAAAAATAACCCTTTACAATATCTCCAAGACCAGAGATTTTTCTGAAACAAAGGCAGTTACCAAGTTGCATCCAGAGACTTCTGCATTCTGTATTAGCAATGGCCTGATAAGGAATGTGAAGTAGGTTGGAGGAAATCTCTAGGGCATGATCCGTATTCTAGTTTTATTTGGCAACTTTCTGATGATGCATAATGGAGACAAACTGCTGGACTTTTTAATCTGGAGGGGTTGAAATGTTGGTACCAAAGGAAACAAATGGGACATGAGAAATTAAATAAGGAAAACTCACATGAAACATACTGTAAAAACATGCAAACCAAGTATTCTGAGCAATGTTCATTAGACATGTACATAGGTGTTAGCGAAGTGGACTTAATGGAGAAGTCTTCATATTAAGTCATTAAAATGTGTATGTTACAATGTGATTGTGTTTTAACATTTGGTACATTTTCTCAGTCCAAATTGATGCTGTGTAGGACCATCACATAAATGAGGCTTTGTTCATAAGTCCTAGGCATAGTTGCAGGTATATTATAATAACATTTGGTTTTGCCAGAATAGTTGGTTTCAATCTAGGGAGTAGGCTGATAATGGTACAGGCATGTTGTTAGGTTTTATTTATAGTGTAGGTTTTTAACTAATAGTAGAAATGCATTTGCTTTGTGAACTAAAAATAATAACTTAAAATTTTAGTTATCTCTCTTTCATCTGGGAAGTTAGAACATTGGCTGAAAGATTTTTGTTAAAGGAATAATGGAATGATTTTATCAGACAAGATGAGTCACCAGGTTGTTGTCAAGAGGTTACTTCTTCTAATTCATTTTGACAATTGTTACAGTTCAACGTCAGCCTTTCTCATTCCGGAGAGGAATAAATAACCATATTATATTTCAAAAGTAATTGTTGTGCTATAGTAATATTTTCAGGCATTTTCTGGGAGCTCTGTAGGCAAGATCTTCTTAGACTGGTGCAATTGCATGTGTTTTAAGTGTAAACTTTTCAACAAATTTCAGCTTATATAATTGGTTCTGATTTTAAAAAGGCATTCTGATCCATCCTTACAATTTCCTATGACTTAACTGTGAGAGTGACGGAGCACTGGAACAGGCTGCCCAGGGATGTTGTGGAGTCTCCTTCACTGGAGACATTCAAAACCCACCTGGATGTGTTCCTATGTGATGTACTCTAGGTGACCCTGCTCTGGCAGGGGGGGTTGGACTAGATGATCTTTCGAGGTCCCTTCCAACCCCTAGGATTCTATGATTCTATGAAACCAGTGTGTTCGGTTTATTAGTTTCTCAAGGAACTTTGCATTTTTTCCTTTATTCTGAAATAAATTTATGTTTGAAAGTATAACTGTAGATGAGCACATACTCTTTTATGTGTTCAGGTTATGAATAATGAATATACCAGGGATAAGGCTGCTTTCCTCTCCACTTTTTTCCTTTAGGATTATTCCAAATTTTTCAGGAGGTGATCTGGCATTACCTACATCTAGGATGTCAGTGGTCGCTAAATAAATTCTCAAGTCCACAGTACTGTGGACTTATGCAAGAATACTGCTTTAACTTCTTCATAGCAAACACGCATACACACACAGAGACAAATCTGAGAGTGGTTTTTCTGGTGGTGCAGACCTTGTCCTTGTCAGTTCTTGAAGCTGATGCAGTTTGAACTGCTTGCCAAACAAGTCTTATGTCATAGAATTCAAAAGATGAAGGAAAATAAAAAGTTACAAGGGTCTTCTGAGGATTTGATGAAAAAGATGTGTTGTCCAGAACAATTTTGGGACTGGAAAATTAGAGGTAATGGTCATAATTATAAATATATGTGTTTTCTTTCAGTTGGCTTTTGAAACTATGAGTGTAATATCTGTTGTTACTAATTGCATACTGATTGGAATGTCTCCACAAGTGACTGCCCTTTTCCCAGATTCAAAAATGGACCTTATTCTGATTGTGGCATTGGTAGAGGTAAGTCTGCGTTCAAACAGTACGTGTGTGTTTTAATAGCAAACAACGTGAGCAGCAATGCAACCACCAGTAAGTGATTTCCCCCCTCCAGCCCTAATATTGAAAGGAAGATTTCTCTATCAAACAACAGTTTCAAAGTTTTACTTTTTGATTTCTTTCTTTTCTGTGTTTTAATTTACTGTGAATGTTGTTGACATACTTTTCCATACCTTCCCAACATATCATGTATTTGTTGCTTCATGTCTTAAGTGTCATTCCTTTTCAGACAAGGAGGGATGACTGTGGGCGTTTTATATAATAGCTGAGATTGTAGGACTTTGCCTTTCTGTATCTTTCTTTTGAAGCTTTCTTTTATTGCATTGCTTTGACTCTTATCATTATGCTATTTTAGCTTTTAGGAACTGGATTACTTTTCTTGTGGCAAAAAGTCTGGGTTGTCTGTGTAGTTTTTAAACTGCATTGCCTTACAGAGGTGGAGCAGGAGCACATAGTTGTTTGTTGTTGTTTTTACAGGTGTTAAGCATTATGCAATGAATTATGTGCTTGCTTAGAATTTTATTTTCCAAGCCTTAAGGTTTGCAGAGTTAACTGTAAATATGAATCATGTCAACTGGTTTACTGAAGTTCGAGTCTACAGACAACCTATTGTATTCTTCTATTATGCATATGTAACATTTGCATTAACCTCAGTCATGTATTTTAATATAAAACTAATTTGGCAATTTAAATGTAGTGCTATAGTTGCTTACCTAGCAACATATCCAGGGAGATCATATTATGAAAATTGTACGACTAAATGTAAGCAGTATGGATTTATGTCAGCTTGAAGAGGTGTAGCTGTTTTTGCCTTTGCTTTGTGGGTATTTGTTCCCATGTTACATGTTACATTGGCACTTTCTTTTATCTGGTGTGTGGTGTATCAGATTAGGGACTTGATCTGGGAGAAGCTGTCTGACCCTGTTCATTGGTGAAAGGGAGCAGGGCAGAAGCAACTGTGTGTGGCAGACACAGTGGTACTGTGGGTTTGTGCTGGATTAAATGTGTGGGACTTCTGTACCACTGAGTCTTTCTCCTGGAAGTATTACTTTGCCTACAGGAAGATAGCTAAACTATGAGAGAAGCACAAATACCATGCTTCGTTGCTAAATTAATTATTCAACTGTGCATTTCAGTTGTAAAGAAAAAAATCAGGAACAAAATACAGCACATTAAGCCTCTAGAACAAATATGGTGCATCTAAGGTTTATCAGTGTCAGGGTACGAAAAAATTCTGTTGAAGATATCAGCGTGTTGTCAGAAAAACATTTTAGATCACATAGAGATACAGAAACATATGATGCAGGGTGAGTTATTTTACTTTCTGATGTTTACTGCAGTTGAAGATGAGAATTTTAGTGTGTTTATGCTATTTTGGCAGCAGCTTGGCAGGCAGTGTGAAAATGTTAGTAGGTTTTAGTAGGTTATCTATGCTTTCACATGTTCAACTGGTTGGGGTAACCTACTTAAGACTTATCTGTCATCACATATTTTTAAATTGGGTTTGAGTACTTGAGACTCCAGCTTAATACAGAAAAAACAAAAGCTGGGCATAGGTATTAGCAATGTCCTGATTATGGGTGTGTTTGGCTTTGTTTTTTCAAAAGAATATTAGCACTTTTTAATAATACTATTATTATTATTCAAATGGAAACATTCATAGGGCAACATTTGACATCAGTCAGTGCAGACATAGTGAAGAACTATGTGTGAGATTCTTGGAAGCATTCCGTCCATACTCAACCCCTACAGATTTATGCAAGATAATTTTTTTTCCATTGACAACAGTAACTCTACTGCTGTCTACACCTTTGATGGGTGTGCATACTGTATCAGCAAAGGAAATGCTAATAAAATAAAATATTAAGCATTTCATAATAGATAATGGCAAGAATTAAAATAATAACTTATAATAATTTTTAAGTATTAAGATATCAATTTATTATTTTGAACAGTTGACCTATTTTTATCAATCCAACATCTGCTTCCATGGCAACATGATTCGAACCAGGAGCAGGATCATGAAACTCTCCTCAGTTACTTATGGATAGGTGCTAACTGAGTGCAGGAAGTGCAGTTTTCAAACAGAAAGAAGTAGGTGAACGTCTTAAAAGCAGGAAAAAATAAGCCCTTACTGACATTTGTAAAATAGTTATATCCTAGTGTGTTTAGTTCTTCAGGCTTTACTGTAGGCACATACTTCTGGTATGAACCACATGTGCAAAGCAGGACATTCCAACCAAGTGATTGTACTTGGGTAAAACTGTTCCCCATCACATCTGATTTGTTACACTGATTGGAAGGAAAAAAAAAAAAAAAGAGGAAATTACTCTGAAGAAATCAGGTGAATAGTTGGGGGAGTGTGTTAAAACAAGCTGTATCCTTAATTCTGCAGTGCTTTTTTATTTTTCTTTGAAAATTGTAGACAGAGAGTTTTCTTCCTGATGACTGTTTCTTTTTAATGTAGACTGACATAAATTCAAGGAATGCTAATTAAATCAGTTTCAGGACAACTCTGAAAGCTGAGTCCAAGAAATCAGTTGGATGTACAAGTCTTAGTAGTGATTGTTTTTTCTTTTTAGGCAGTACATCAGTAAAGGTGTTTTTAAGTGGTAGCTGTAAAAAGTACAGCTTAATGTGACTGTATTCTAATCTGCAAAAGTAACTCAGTGTATGTTCAGCATTCAAATGTAGTAAATGAATGGAAAGCTTTTATGTAGAAGTGTACTTAGCCTGGATCCTTTGTGTCGTGTCAAGGCATTCGGGGATTAGCTTGGAAATATTAAGTGATAATGGAGGGCCCTCTTGATAGCTGTAGTATAAAATCTGACCTTACAGTCTATAAATAGGCTTTTGAGAAGAATATAATCAGCTCTGTCACAGATAAAAATTAGGACCTTAGCATAGAGGACGAGACTAGCATGTTTGTAGTAAACATGGCTTAATAAACAGTTGTGCCATGTGGATTTGATTTCATGGGGTCCTCATAAGGATTTAAATGGATCTTCGTAAGCTTCATAAAAATGCATAGATGTTCAGAAGTCAGTTCTGTAAGAGGTATGTAGTGGAATAAGGGAAGTAACCCCTTCTTAAGTTTTGTTTTTTCTGTGGAAGGAGGAGCTTACAGTCCATTTATCAAAGGCTGGAAAGCAGGAATCATAGCTTGTTGATAGAGCTGAAAAATTAATGGTGTTAAATTTAAGTGATAGCTGATCCAAAATCAAAGGGGTTGAGAGTTGTCTGGTACATCTGCTTTTCTCTAGAGTTTCAATTTATTAAGAGTATTTCTTCATCAAAGGTCTCATGGTGCACAGTAGAAGCTCTTTGATCTTCTGCTGAGCACTCTTAATGTCATGGCCCCAGCACTCAGCTCAGCAGTAAACATTTGTTTCTGGAATTATGTGCCAAAGAAAAGGTGAAACACTACCAGAGTCAAGCAGTTTGGATTCTAGCAGATGAGGACATACACTCATAATCTAGTTGTAGACCTTGTCCTACTTTGCATCCTGGGTGCGGTTGAAGACCTTGTGAATTCACTTCCTGAGCAAAAGTAACTTCAGGTGGCTTGTTATGTCAAAATTAGAGTATTTTTCCTTTATTTCCTTCTTTAAAAAATCCTTACACGTTTTGCAACCAATTTCAATGCTATCTGTTTTTTTCCTGATAAAGCAGGGGTTTTTATTTTTTAAGGAACAGTACCAGTTGGCGTATGTCTTAGCAATAATGTACATGACTCCATTACAGCAGGGTGGAAGTGGGGTGTGGTTCTGCATGGTGTAGTGTTATACATGTGTGGAGCAAACACTTTTACTCATGTAGAATTCAGGAGTTTGGGATTTCGTAGGTATGCAAAGTACACTGACATATTTCCCAACTTTACATAGTTAATAAATTGGAAAAAGTGTGGAAAAATAGGCTGCATCAGCATACATACATACATAATAAATCCATTGTCACTAATGAAATTGTAACAATGCAAAGCTGAGACAGAACAGCTGTGCATAAAGCAATTTTTGTTTCTAAATTATTGTAGTGTTTCTGACAGGTACTAATTTAAAATACAGTAGCTGCAGAGTTTTGCATATAGAATCAGAGAGCAGTTTAGGTTGGAGAGTACCTCTGGAGATCATTTGGTCCAATCTTCTTATGAAACCAGGACTGGAGACTAGGTTGTCCATGTCCTTGTGAAGCTAAGTTAAAACTTGAAAACTTCCAATGAGGGCAAAAGTCCACCACTTCTCTGGATAACCTATTCCATTGCTTAGTTGTTCTCATAGCAAAGAATTGGGGATTTGACAAGAAAAAAATTTCCTGGAACAACTTGTGGCTCATGGCCTCTTGTCCTTTCCCTGTGCATCCTTGTGAAGAGGGCACCTCCATCTTCTCTAGAATTACCCCTTAGGCACTGGACAATGATGCTTAGATCCTCCCCACCCTCCCAAGCCTTCTCTTTTAAGCAGAGCAAACCCAGTTTCTTCAACCTTTCTTCATATGTTGAGTTCTTCAACCCTGTGGTCTTGTTACCCCTCCAACAGGACAGGTTGCCTCCAGGTTTTCACTGTTGGTTTCCAAGCTGCCAGTTCCACTTTTAAAGAAGGAAGAAATATTTTTAATGTGGGCTTATCTCTTTAATATCATTCTGCAAGTTGCAGTGTGTATTCTTGCTTTGTCCTCAATCAGTTTGCTTTTTAATTAGAGAAAATAATACCTGGGAGCAGTTGTGCAACTCTTTAACTTCCTACTGCTGGATTTCTTTTTGGCAACAGTCTCCAAGTATTTGTCTTCCCATGTGCTAATTCTTTTCTGTGTGGCAGTGTGCTTTTTTTCCACAATGATATGCATATATAACTAGATGAGGTGGCTTAATTATAACCTGAGTAGTTTGTCTGTTTTCAGGTATAAGCTTGAGGAGTAGTATTTACTGGTAAATATATGATGTGTGGTTTTGAATGTGTAAGAAAAAA